TTAGATATTAATAATCTTGAAAAAAAACAATGGACATTAGAATTTAATGAAGGATCTATGTTATCATCAAATATTCATCATAGAGAAGTACATAAATTTTTAATATATATTTTAAATATATTAAATATTTTATTATTATTTTAAATTTATAATTATTGAATATATTTTATAATCTATCATATAATATAGTATATTCAAAAAAATATTATTTCATTATTATATTTTTAATGTTTTTGTTCATTATTCTTTATTCTTTAATATTCATTAGATTCATTTTTCTCATTATTATTTATAGTTAAATAATAATGGAAAATGGCTTCGTTTAATTCCATCTTTAAATGGTGGATTATATCAATTTGATGAAGAAAACTTGGAAGAAGTACCAATATCTGCAAGTCAATTATTACACTCATCTTTTCGTTATTCGGATGATTTAGTATTCTCTGGTGGTAGAGAACGAAAATCATATGATAAGTATTTTTAAAGCATTTAATAAATAAATAAACATTAACATAAGTAAATAAACATTAAAAGAAAAATAAAAAATATATAAATAAATTTTTTACTATAGGTGTGTCAAGTATAACAGGAAAAATTTTATATGAATGTGGAATTAGTGGATGTATTAATATTACAGATGGAGAAACATATATTGAACAAGAAATTCTTATTGTTCAAAGATTTCAACAAACTGTAAGAGCAATTGAACCACGTACTGGTATTGAGAAGTAAATTTCATAAAATATAAAATTTATCAAATATTATTAATATAAATATTACATGAAAAATATTTTATACTGAAATAGGTGGAATTTTAGTGTTGGACAATATGATTTAGTATTGATTCCTCATTCTGATATTTATTGCCAAAATAAAATAACACCTCATGTTCCAGATATTGAAATTAAAGTTATTATACCTGAGGGTTTAATTTGGATTGTTAATAGAAACAATCCTACAATAAAATTATCACAACATAAAGTAAATTTTAATTAATGACAAATAAAATATAATTTTTTAAGCTTTATATTGATTATATTTACTTGCATTTTGTTAGTTTGATTCTCCAATTGTTACTATATGGCGTGAAGATGCAATTATAAAAGCCAATGGATATAAAAATTTAAAGGAAATTAATTTATTTGATAGTACACAATGGTCTTGGGGTACAAAATTTTCATCCAATCCAGCTATTTATTTGGGTATGCATAATAAACAATTATATGTACAAGAAAATACAGAATTCTATAAATCATTAGATACATCACCAAGATATATACAACATTCAAAATATCCATGGAAACCTTATCCTGCTATTGGTATGAATATTTAATTTTAATTTTATCAATTATAACATGATGCATTATATAAAATTATGAATATTTTTTATAATGTATAGAATACAATATTTTTTAGGTAAAGCAATTAAAAAGTCTTTTTTAGATCATGTAACAAATAACAATAATGATGATGATTTGTTTGAAATAAGCGATGCACAAAGTACTACTGCATTATCAGTTCTTTATAATTCAGAATACATAAATGGTATATAAGTATAAAGCATTAAGATTTGTTTTAAATAAAAAATTGGTTTTTTAATGTTTAAAATTATTTTTTGATAAAAATTTTCTTTTAGAAAATGGATTTTATTTATATTCAACATATCAGTTGGAAGTAGATAATAGTAAACAATGTAACTATACTAATTCAGATTTAATACTTATTGAAGAAAAACAGAAATTATTTGGAACAAATAATATTCATAAAGACGATGAAGATACTCCTGTTCAAGTTATAATTGTATCATTATGGTATTGGTGGTATGTAAAATGAAATAAAAAAATAAAATAAAATATTTGTTTTTAATAGAAAATATTTTCAATAGGAAGGAAGTTTTGATAATCTCAATTACTACTGCGATTTTACTTAATTTTATGTTAACACAACGTCTGTTAAATGCTACAACAATTGCTAAAGATGCAGTGCTTCCGGTAAAAAAATTATAGAGTATTTTAATATTATAAAATTTAAAAATATTGATTTTAAATAGCAATTAAAAATATTTATTTTCGTAATTTATCCTTTATAGCCTTTAATAGTTGAAAGACATATAGAGACGAATAAAAATATTCAACTATCTAACAACGAAAAAGAAATTGATAATTTTAAATCACGTTATCTCACAGATTTTGAACCAGTGGATTGTTTAGGAAAAGGTGGTTATGGCGTAGTTTTTAAAGCAAAAAATAAAATAGATGATTGTAATTATGCTATTAAAAGAATTGCTCTACCAAACAGGTTTGTAATTTTAATAAATTCTAATGTAATTTGATAATATTAACATAAAAAATAAATTTGATCAAATTTATGAAATTTATATATACTTATTTTAATAGTATATATTCAAGAGAACGTGTAATGCGAGAAGTAAAGGCATTGGCTAAATTAGATCATCAAAATATTGTAAGATATTTCAATGCATGGCTTGAATGTCCACCTTCAGGATGGCAAGAAAAACATGATCCTCAATGGATAAACAAAATAATATCTCCAAATTCAGATTTTACTTCAGAAATAATTTATACAACACCAAAAATTAATAACTCCGTTTGTATTAATGTTAGTCAAACTGATCAATCTTCTGATCTAGATAGTGCTTGTGAAGCTTATGAATTAAATTATAATTTAAATGAAGATTCTTTTGTCGTTTTTGACAAATCCTATTCAATTAATCAGAATGAAAATGTTATAAATATCAATAACTCTAAAATTGAGAATTCCAATTCATCTCATTCAATTAATAAAATCAAAAAAATATTAAAAAGTAATAATTTTACACATTCTAAAAGTATTCTATTTAAACTTAATACTGATAGTGAATTTTCAGAAAAAGAAAAGGAAAAAAAACAAAAATCATTTTC